TGCTGTACGTAGGCTGTGGGTTCAGAAAACATGAAGCAAGTGTATTGGGTCATAAATGCCAGAAAAGTTTATATTTTTTAAGATATGAATACTTATTCAGTCATGAGTTTTTATTATTTCCCTACTCACGTATCAGAAAAACCAATTCTGGTCTTTACAAATTATAGAGGATACATGTGAAGATTTCAGGGTATAATTCCTTACATCTCCCCACATCTGATGAAAAGCAGCTGTGTTGAAACTAAAAGCTTTTCTTTATCGGAACTGCTATTTACTTAATTTATAAATATTAAGTCCTTGAACCATGAAGAAAATACAGCTCCCCTTTTGAGAACTGCTGCGGTTTAATTTGTTCTTAAACAATCTTATGCCCACAGCGCATCTCATACCAGAAAGCCCATATTTTTCCCCCCACAACATGCAAAAGGGAAGGAAAATACTATACACTTCATTTTTCTTTATCCATAATAAAAATGGCCAAGCATTACTATAGCAGGAGCAATAGGAATATTTCCCACTGATTCCAATGAAAGAATTTTAATAATGCCTATAAAGGATCAAAGGCCAGTAGAGCTACAGAGCCTGCCCTTGGGTTTGCCCCCAGCTTCTCCTAACTACCACATTTGAAGATCCATAACCCTGGGCAAACGCAGGGCAGCAAAGAGGCACCTATCCCAAAAGGGCACTCAAGGACTTAAGAACTATCAATGTTAGAAACTAAAATTGTCAAAGTGAAGCCTGAAGAACAAGGGAAAATAAAACCACTGCACATGCAATAGAAAATTGAACATCTTCCTTCTTGATTTGGTGGCTTAACACAAAACCAAAAACGGTGGGTGGAATATAAAGACAGATATAAAGACTACTGTGAATAGCAATCAGCTGTTCCCAGCACAAAGTTTTGCTGAAAATTCACTACAACTCATCCTCTAAAAAGCATCAGCGCTACACAGCAATGGGAAAGTTTCTCACGCTGCTTTCCTGCTCAGTAGAAACATTTATCCCAAGTTATATTTGCACTTGCTTAAATTTCTCCAAACAAACTGTATTTTTTTCAGAAACATAAGTTGAATACTACAGTAACATACCCAATACATACTGTTCAGTCATTAAAAAACAACATTGCTCCATTTAAGAACAGAAGAAAATTTCTTGAAATTTCAAAGAAAAAAAGCTTGCAGATGTATCTGCTTACAAGACAGTTATCACAAATGCTACTTTCTTTTCTTTTTTTGTGGTCATTCATTTTGTTTCACAAAGAGGTTAAAAATTCTTACATCTCAAACGAAAGCCTATAAAAACACACTGAAAGATACAATATACTTAAAAAGTGTTTTCTTGGTTTCACAAGCTTTTCTTGTTTCTCTTTTATGGAGCTGAGAAATTAAAATTAGCATTTGAAAGTATTCAAAAGACTGTTTAAACTTCTCATTTAGGTGTCGGATTCCACAGGTGCCATTTCTCATTACAGTGAAACATTTGAGAAATCAACCTTGCCAGGCAACCTCTGATCTTAACATCATAAAGCAAAACAGTTCAATTTGATTTGCCTGCAACTAAAGATACTCTTAGATAAGAGATCAATGAGAAGAGCTTCAGATGAGTATGGAAAGAACAGACTGACTGCACACCTGTCCTCTTGCTTCATGTAGAAATTCTCCTCGAGAGTTTCTGTATTTTCTGGTTCAGTAAAGAACTTTTCCTCATACGACTTTTGTAGCCAAGTCTCATGCAGGAGGTCTTTTTGTGTTAACTTTACAAAACATTCATAAAAAGAACAAAAAAGGCACTACTCTGTAAGGGAGGTAAATTTATCTACATTGTCCATCAGTGATATTCCTACAGCATAAACTAGAGGGGCCAACGTTTTTTATTTCTTTAAATAAAGTCCAAGAGGATTCATACTCAATACCATTTATATCCCCCAGCTGCCTTCAATACAGCAATCATCAAGCGCACAAAATCCTGCTAGACATTGTTAGTTTTTTTTTTTTTTTTTAAACACAGAATCACTAATTCAGTTCCTCAGATACCTCAAGACACAATTGGATTACTGCAAAATAAATATGAATCAAAATTTCCAAGTATGTATCTTCTACTGCATTCAACTAAAATTCTGCAGAAAATTCATATTTTGATATCCTATATCATAACTGAAACTTGAAGAAATTAGATATTAACATGCTAAATCTAAACGTAACTTATACTTGATGCACTGTATTTACCATTCTGTAACCCCATCCACAGCTGTTTATGATCCTTTTTTTGCATCTCATTGATGACTTGACTTTTGTGCTTTAAAGCATCTGCTTCTTTTATGCAAGCCATAAAATGAGCTTCAATTACATCCTTAGAATGGCAGTGAAGAAGATCCTTTTCTGGAAAATTCTACAAAAAAAGACCAAGGAAAATAAATGCATCACATTCCTTCAAAAATCAAGAATAAATAATATTTTTAATCTGATTTATAGTCATACAATAGAAGTACACTGGATTCTTTCACTCATGAAACTCATCACTTTGCTGAAAATAAAGATTTTGCAGTGAAAAACGTGCCAAAGAAACACTGAATTAGCTTTCTGTAAAAAATGAAATTACTCTTAAGTCATCCCAGTTCACTTCAATAAACACACTTAAATATGTCAAAAGATGCATATAAGCCCATACATCCAAAATTGAGGAAAGATATAAGTTCAGCAAGTTTTCAAGCACATCTTCAGTTCACTGGCTGGGGGAAAGGGAGAGAAGTAGTAAGTGCTGAACTCCTACCGACCTTCAGTGGAAATTTAGTGCCCATTTCTCTATATGCCTTTGAAAAATATTTCCATCAAATACCTTCCACATATACTATGAAATATACCAAATATGCCACCGACAACCATCTTTCCTCAAAAATACTTGAAATCCTTATCAACTCTTTTTGCAATACATGTCCTAGGGTCAGGTGGTATGACCTGATTCCACATCCGTTTTATTTCATTAGAGTTGGTGTACTGCACTTAAAACATTACAGATGCTCAGTTCACAACTTGTGAGGGGAGAAACAAAGCAACCTATCTTTGTCAAATCATTGATTAAGATACTATAGTACTAAGCCCTATTTGCGTACAAAAGATTGTTTTAGAAATTACATAAAAGCTCAGCATTGTATATGCTTGCAGGTAGGCTTACTCTCTTCGTACTTTTTATCAACCCTTAGTATCATTTGGCATTTTACAATACAAGCATGATTTCACAAAATCACATTTAGTTTTTAAAGTCTTAAAAAAAGAGCAAAAAGGGACACTTTTTATCCTCTCTTTACTATATTGTTTTCACAGCTGCTTATGACTATGTTGAACACTACAAAACTCCTAAAACTAACCTTTTGTAAGTCATCTTTTTGGCAAGTTTTTTTGTAGGTACTGTCAAAACCATCTTAGAAATATAATGAGAGTTTTTTTTTTTTTTCCAAAAACTTTTGCAGCAGTTAACAGATAATATCCTAAATCTGAACTACGCTAAGATCATCATAAGTCTGAAGAAACCAGTATCTTCCCTCCTCACAAGTCAGGAGAAATCATGAAGGTTGCTTCAAAGAAAGGGTCTCAAAATACCCAAGAAACACTAACAGCTGTCAAAACAAAAAGGAGCTTGGGGGGGTCTTACCTAAAGAAAATTCTGAAAGACAAAAACAAAAGTTCCCTTTTCGTTAGTTTAGCAAAGAGGAATAGAAATTAAATAATGGAACTCCATGAAGGGATTCCTCCTTATGACACGAGCATCTTTCAAAAATAGCAGTATAAAAGGAAATGAGTGTCTTATTTCTGGAAGTTTTTGTATCTGACTTAAAGCGAGCGCTATCGCTACGTGAGACTAAAGGATGCACAGCTAACTGGAAATGTGAAGACAGATATCAAGCCTGCTTCTCATATGAGGATAGCCAAGTAGGAAGACTTTAAAGAGGAATGAACAGAAAGAAAAGTTCTGCTACCAGAGCAGAGCTTGCTCATCTTCTGTCTCTCCTACAAGGCTGGGTGTCCAGCATAACTGCTTCTAAGATGCACAGGACACACTACTGAGGCTGCTGCTTGCCAACTGACATTCATATAAGCCTATAAAATACTTTCAGAAGCTTAACTTTTTGCTCAAATAAAAAAGAAAAGATTGGTAACCAAGTTAGAAGAACAGACAGAAATAACATAGTGCAAGATTCAAAAAGTTTTACGTTCAAGAAGTTGAAGTGAGACATTGGCATCCCTCAGGAAAGAGGAAACTGTGGAGTCTACCTAATGCCAACAACAGAGCACCCTAGAAACTTTTACAGTCCAAAGCTGAAGTTTTAAGTGACGTCTGAGAAAAGAGAATTTCTATAACTGTTAGTCACAGTTATATTTACATATTGAACTTCACGGTCCTTCTTTGGACACTGCACTTCAAAAGAGGGAAAAAAAAAAAAAAAAGTTAAGCATCTGCATGCTGATTTTCATCCTATGAGAGCTTTCAAGTAACAGGAAACTTCACTCTTTGGGGATGTGTTTGAAGAACCTGCACATCATGGTCTGTAGAATAAAGTGCAGATACTTAAACTTTCTCAGAGTTATCTAAGATGGAGGAAAGAATCCAGTTACATTAGTTCCAAGGCGTGGAATGTTCATTTTCCCATCTTTCAAGGGAAGACACAATGGAAACGCAAAAATATTCCTATGCTCTCAGTCCTCTTTCTTTAGAAGAAAAACAATGACATATTTCTATCTGGTACCATGACTAGAAGCTGAAAAACATGAGCACAAATGTGATACCTTAGAAGGTAACACTGCTGTGTCTGCAGGAGGCCTAAAACAAGGTAACCTACAAGAAATGACCAGTGAAAAAACCCACAACATTCTGCACTGATATAAATGATGTCCTAGAAGGATATCTCTAAAGGGCAATTCACGACTCAATTTCTGGGCAGTAGGCTCACACTCTCCCTCCCAAACACCTACCTAGCTGCAACAGTTCCCAAACATTTAACTGTACACAGCTAAACTAGGGCAAGAAATTTAGATTCCACAGTTGAAGAAAAAAGCAGAACCTAGAATAGAAGCTTCCATTCATACGATATGTAAAAAACCAGCTAAACATAAGCCCTCTAGCAGAACTTAACTCAGGTTTTAACAACTAAACTCTTAGTTCTCAAATTAATATTTTGTATTAATTTTTAAATATGCCATCCTTTTAGAGTTTCAAGATAAAATTCAAAATTGTTTTCCTGGTGACAGGGTTCAGAAACAGAAGAAGAATAAAGCTACAGTTTTGGCAAAGATAGAAGAAGGGAAGCCAAAAAATTACAAATATTTCACAACCAGAGACATGAAGTCTTAAACAGTTTGTGGAAGATCATATTCTTAATTGTTCAATACTCTAAGAATCAGACCACAAAGTCCAATATTGTGTGCTTGAATGTGCCAGATAGCAGTATAAATGTCATTTTTACAATACGCCTACTCTCCACCCAGCAATTTAGCACTTAGGGAGCTCCTCAAGCACGGGAAGCATCCACATATTTGTATTTAGTTACCACCAGTGATCTTTTCTTTGGTGGCTCCTCCTTTGCTAGATCAAATTGCTCGTGGCAGTGCAGGCCAGGTAAGGGCTTCAGTGGAGGAACGGCTCAAACCCTTAACATGTTATACCTGATTCATCCCCTCCCCCCCCACAGCAATCAATATGAAGAAAATTACAGCGTAATTCAATTCTCCAAATTGTGTTGAACATGAATTAAAAAAAGTTTCATATATTTAGCTTCAGACAAAGCTAAATAGACTTTAGACAAAGAAAAGTCAATAGGAAAACTAAAACAATGCTCTCTACTAATGTTCTTGAGCTCTCTTATTGACAGTGTACTTTCATCAAAAAAAGGACAAAGCTCTGATAGCAAGACTTTAAGACCATAAAAATACTGTTCAATTTAAGTAAGAATTACTTTCCTTTGAAGACTAATTAAACACAAATAAATGAAAAAAAAACAGGCAGCAATCTTATATCTAAACTATTCAACTATAAAGAACTAAAATGCAAAGAAGTCTCTCCAAAATTGAAATATTTCAGTTGTGTTTCACTTTAAAAATTATAGGGGGGTATTTAAATATTTGAATTATCCCCTAAACAGAAGAGATTAAGCAGGATGGAATCCAATATACTGGATTAACATTTTCCAGATGCTATGTTTGTTTTCAAAAACTAAATTACAGCCATCTTTAAAATAACACTGTTTAAGCAGTAAATTATTTCTTCTGATGCATACCTAAAAGACAAATTTAAATCAGCCAACGTTTTGGTAATAAGTAGTAATACAAGAAGGTTAAAGTCAGCCTGCATTACTGTATTGAACTGAAAAGGACCATAGTGCTATATTTTTTTTTTCAAAATGGCTCTTCCTTGGGATGAAAAAACATCTACACATTGCCACTGCCAATCTTCTAGAGCTCAGAATGTGCAACAGTTAAATCAGTTTAAAACTAGACACCCTAAACTGTTTTCAGAACAATTTGTAAGTATCTTTATCCCATCTCTCTTTTACATGTATCAGGCACAAGCATAGCAATTATAAAGATTTAAGGACATCTCTGTATTCACTCGTTAAATTTAAGAAGTTCCAACATGTAGAGGTGGATACTGTAAAAATAAATATATATATATATATTTTACTGGAGTGCCCATTAAGAGTCAGACTACTCCTATTAGCAAGATCTTTTCATAAAGACCTTCAAGCGGGACTTGTCTGAAAGAGAACTGCCTCCCAGGATGCTTTTCATTTCATCTCAGATCTCACACACGGAACACCACCTACTGATCTACTCTTTTCCTTTGGATCAGTCTTCCAAATGCATTGTTTCCTTTGAACCACTACAGTACAATGGAGAAATTAAAGTTTCATAGTTCCAAATCATAAGCAGAATCCATTTTTTTTATTATTATTATTTTTTTATTTCCAAACATACCTAGGGCTACCTTCTTGACTCACTGCAGAGTATAAAGGAATCCTGCATCAGAGCTAACCCTACACAAACAGTGTGAGCAAAGATCACTAGCACTATCAAGTTATACCTAGTAGTTTTACAATGTATAATCAAAGCACTGTCTCCCTTGTGACTAAACTGTCAAAAGACCAAGCTCATTTCACTCATTTCTCTAAAGGGAAGCCACATGAAATGCACCTTCAAAGTTCAACGGCATTCCCTGACTTCAAGGATTTCTGTGATACTCCATTTCCACACTAAGATGCACAAAGGGATGAGCACTTCTGAATCTTCAGTTGACTATATGAAAAATATCACAGAGAATTTCGTGCCTTTACTGACTCAGCTACACTGACAGAGTTTTGTAACTTACCTGAAAAACACTTTTGGATTTTTGGATTCTAGAGTTATTTGAAGTCATTTGAAAGCACATACAATCTCACACTAAACTGCTATAGAAAGCTGCTATAGATTTAAGGAGTATTAAGATGCTTCCTGAGGAAAGAACACACTTGTCCTCAGAAAGTCATACCACCTGCCAAATCACGAGGTAAGAATAATTATGAAACTTTTTTCTAGTTTCCAAACTTCATATAATCTTATGTTCACTTATTCTTAACCAAAAGGATACTTTGACTTTACCTTGAAATGCACTGTGATGCACCAAGGAAGGGCTGTATTTGATGCATGGAGATCAAACAGCAAACCAATTGGGTAGTGCCTATAATACAGACGAAAAAAAAAAAAAAAAAAAAAAGAGCTGCATGTTTAAATCTATATATAACAGTTAGCATAGCTGCAGTAAAAACAGCTTTTTCATCACACAATATTTGCCATTGCATATTCAGAAAATTATACAGGCACGTATAACTTACAGTTACTGACAGAATCAAGCCCAAGCCCAGAATCAAGTCTTCTATATCTAGATCAGTGCTCTCCAAGTTAAACACCAGAAAACACTGGTAGCTTTGCAAGAGTTGCCTACGGCTGTGGAATGCTTCAGAACAGGACTTTGAGTTAAAAAGCTTGATACTGGCAGGATAGTTGGTTTGACAGAAATTTATTAGTTCAAAATTTTAAAAGCCACGGGTTTGTCTCATTTTGAGCCTTAGCATCTCTTCACTACCCCACCTGCCTGATACCAGGGGTGGGGAATAAATAGCAGAACCACAAAGTGATTTATCTATAGGAGGGCTGAAAGAGGACAAACTAAGCTGAACTCCTTATATTTACCAAGAAATTAGGCAGAATGGAAGGGGATAAAAAGGTTTTTTTTAAAAAAAAAATCAGTATTCTGTATTGAGAGGGAACCGTTTATTGGAATGTATAACACTTAATATTCATTTCTATCTTGAAGCTTTGTCTCAGCTGCGGTAGAAAATATGTATTTCAACAATATAAGCAGTATCCATCACATACGCAAAACTTCTACAGACACTTAATTTTTTTCTACAGACACGTATTTTTTTCACAAGCAGGCAATGACAGCATTTTTCCTAAAAATAAAGTTTGTTTCTTTTTAAGCAGCAAATAAAACTGAGTTCTCTTATCTTTTAAAAAAATTAACAAGTAAAAGAGCATTATTAGTTCATCAACCTACAAAGAGATAAGCACACACCACTTAACTGGAAACTGGTCACAGTACAGAGAGCCAAGTACATAAGCTTCAAAAGTCCAGAAGAGCAGTAACTGAGAGGACAAAATATTGCTCTAAAAACACCCATGTCATCAAGCCAATTCCCTGACCAGTTAACTTTCATGTAAACTAGTGCTTTGGCACCCTCTCCTGGTGAGCTAACCCAAAAGCTAAGACAAAGTCACTTCAAAAAAATAGCAGCGCAATGCTTGAACTTGCCTACCGCAATCCTAACTTTTGAAAAGCATCGACAGGGAAGAATGGCATGAAACGATCTAGAACTGTGTTTTCCCCATAAAGCAAATGAAAAAATACATGGAAAGTTTATCAGTATTCACTGCTAATGCTGAAATTTTTACCATTAAGATTTTTTCATTACTAACCGCCAATTACGTCTTGAGTTCTTCAACAGGGGCTCAACAAGAGTTCCATCAAATAGTACTTTTTTCAGGTGGGCTACGTAACAGTAGGTAGAAAGTTAAATTGCTATATCATGAACATGGAACACAACAAATGACTTGAAGTTATATTTAATTTATGGGGGAGAGGGGAGAGGGGAGAGGGG